CGCTCTTAGCAGATGATAAAGTTTGTCATAGCATCATATCGCTATGACAGAGAATGCTTAAACTTTGCCTTTTTTTGCGAAGCTTTCTTATTTAATGCTTTGCCATTCTCCATGAAAACGAGTGAGCTAAATTAAAGGAACGCTTTTTCCGTTTAGTAAAATTCCTTTAAGACTATTAGTATGAATTTTTAGTTGTTGTAATTAAACTGTTTTCTGTTTTGCATATATGAAGATATACTAAATTCATATACATCAAAAGATGTATTTTACCGTCAATCAATCTAAATAGGCTTAACGGTTTTGTGTAATCTGTGAATCTCGATTTCCTTTATAAAAAAACTTCATTGTTGCGTTTCTGATTATAGGTGGAAAATTTTTCACAAGAAGTTCAGGCGCTGGAAGCGCGATACTTTTACGGCTTTCAGATTGCACTGGAAAATATACATTCTGAGATGTATTCGTTACTTATCGATGCTTACATCAAAAACCCCGCTCAAAGGGAGTTGCTGTTCAACGCCGTCGAAACGCTGCCGTGTGTGAAGAAGAAAGCAGACTGGGCGTTGAGATGGATCCACGGGAAATCGACACCTTTTGCTGAACGCCTTGTTGCCTTCTCTGCCGTCGAAGGTATTTTTTTCAGCGGCAGCTTCGCGGCTATATTTTGGTTGAAGAAACGTGGTCTTATGCCGGGTTTAACGTTCAGCAACGAACTCATATCACGCGACGAGGTTGGTTTACATTGTCACGGTGCATAATCTCCGTCATTCCTGTTTAGGGACTACATACTGATTTTGCATGTCTAATGTTTCATCATTTGGTGCACAAGCCTCCCGAGTCAAGAATCAAGCAGATTATCACGGATGCTTTGGAGATCGAAGTAGAGTTCCTCACTGAGGCGATTCCCGTCGACCTGATTGGCATGAACTGTCGCCTAATGAAGCAATACATGGAGTTTGTTGCTGATCGTCTGCTTGTGGAGTTAAACTGTTCCAAGGTATGAAAAACATTTAAAACCTAATTTGTGACTTTGAGTCTATGTAGCACTCCACTATTATGACGTCTCCTCCCGCTGAAATTTCAATTTCATTAAAATTTCATTGAGATTGTGTATCTTATGAAAAGTTTAACCTAATTGTTTTTGTTGCTTGCTTAATCGTCACCATTTTTAGAAACTGTGCAAATCTGAGATGTTTAAGATTTCTTGTGTCATCCCATCTCCACATGTAGTTTCGCTCTGGCAGATGTACGTGAAAGCAAGTACCTGCAGTTCTCATGGGATCCTCAACTTGTAAATGTAAGTTCGTAACTCAGGCTCTGTGTGTGTAATTTTGCATAACAAGATTTTAAGAGGTCAGATCAAGAAGCAGTTAAGAGCTGACAGATTCTTTTCGCTTTAGGAGGGTTTGCTTAGGGTGGAGATATTTGTTTGTGAAAAAACCGTTATTATTATAGGAAAAAGGCTTAATTGACCACATCCAAAAGCACACTAAAAATATTAAAATCACTATGATCGCACAAATCCGAAAACGCTACATGGTATTACCTCCTCTGTCCCGAGGGTGAACCACAGTGGTTCAGGCTATCAGTTATGCCTCGTTTGGATGAATCATTTAAGTATTTTGACAAACTTAGAGGTATAATCAAAATTAATTTAAGTTAATTTAGCAATTACTTTTTAGGTTTGAGAATTAGTATCTGTTGTGAATAAGTTATGGTTTGTTTCTGCTGAAAGGTTGATGATACCACCGTTTTGTGTTGCATCAAACCTGAATGACTGATTAACGGAAAGATTATGTAACTGATACATTGACTAATCGGTTATGAAGCTAGCTGACTGAGACACCTACTGACTGCTTGAGAAACAGACTGATTGACTGCCTTTCTGACTAAACGGTTATGGAAATAACTGATTAACTGATTGTTCTTTAACTGATTGTTTTGGAGATTATCCTAAAATTTGATATGGTCGCCTATTAAAAAGTCCTTTAGATAAAATCAAAACGTCTGCAGAGGTTTATCGTCTTGTAAGATAGTTTTGCCACCTGTAAAATAAAACTGCATTGTGCTGTTTCCATTATAAAAGAAGCTGTAAGAAACAAGAAAAGTGTGAGAGGTCAGGTGACCCAAAATTTGCTTTTATACCTCAGCTTTTTTCTTATGATCGATGAGGCATCGTCTATTCATTCTTTCTCTGTTACTGAATTTAGGGAGAATCTATCATTTTGAATCTTTTTTGACTATGTTATGTTTTTCGCTGTTTTCCACTAATTTTCAGAAAAAATTTTGTTCATTCAATGTTTTGGATCATAAAAATCCAGCAAGTTTAATCAATGATTCAGAAAAAAGCGTTAAGCTGTTTCCATTCCTGCATAATCAGGTTACTATTTTTTGTTGTCTCCGTTGATTTATGCTAGAAACTCTTTCCATAGTGTCTCGGGGAAGTGGTTTGAAGAGTGAATACAAGCAACTACGTATAAAACTATGGACACTGTGGTATCCTAGTGTCATAGCGTAATTAAAATATGTGGTCATGCTGCTCAGTGTAAGAGCTTCTAAGCTCTTTTTTAGCCTGCCTCACTCATTGCTCGCGTTATTGCAGACAGAAAAAGTCTCTGAATTAGAAACTACTACTCAAAGTTTACTACTTATTATTTGTAAATAACTGCATATTTGTTTGCTCGTTTGTCGAAATGTGTATCAATATTTTGTATCTAGATTTATAAAGTGACGAATCCATTCGATTTTATGGAACACATATCTCTGCAGGGAAAGACGAACTTCTTCGAAAAAAGGGTTGGCGAATATCAAAAATGCGGCGTAATGACAGATCATTCAGAGCAGCAGCGAGTTTTCACGTTGGATGCTCAATTTTAGGCTTGATTTTACAATATTTCGTGAATTTATTAAGACAATGAATATATATATGTCTAAATTATTGGTAAAAGACTGTTTCTGATTTTTTGCCATTAAATCATTTTCCTAATAGTTTTTTTAAAATTCAAAGCTCGTTTTTACTCATCACTCCGAATAAGAAATTTTTGACCTAAGAGTAATTGCACGCTATTTTTAGCTGGCATTGCCTTCAGCATACTACATCAGATGAGACTAGCATCACGTCTCATTCCAGTGGGCCTGAAATATCATTGTACTCTTCTGCAAGCAACTCCGAGCTGGATGTGAAATAGCGGATATCATGAAAGTAATTTAGTGCAGCATCCTTCACTATTCAGCGTTGCCAGAAGTAGCGATGGTTCCATCTTGAAATCTGTTGCACTCGCTGTGTGCTACTGCTGCGAAACACTGGTCCACTATAACCAATGCAGAAACATTAGTAGAAATGGATTTATGGGGACGACAGGATATGTGAGGTAGAGAAGTGCAATGATTTTAGATTTTTCAATTTTTGAAATAATTTTAATCACCTGAACCGGTCAATATTCCGCGACAGCATGGATACAGTTGACAAGACTGAGGAGAACTTCATACAGATGGGACTTCGATTTCATTCGTTTTTTGTAGAAATTGTCTCTAATAACCCTTAACGAATGCCTAACCATGAAGCAGCACTGAAATCTGCTAGCGTTTTTCCCAAGGGAACAGTTCACTTCCGTCTTGACATAGGGCTGTCATTGAGTATAACGGTTTTTTCTGAGGATCAAACTTGATAGGTTCGAACTCAGCCATGCTCTGAAAATCTCACCGTTGAATGTCAGCGATTTATATGTCGCAGCAAATTTCTGTACCCGCTACCGGGGGATGCGCCCATGGCCATTGGCTAGACACATTGGAATTGTAATATAAATAGTTTAATTGGATGTGTGCATTAATCTTGACATGTTCGAAATGAAACAATAGCAGCAATCGATTGGTTTTCGCCATTAACGAAAATTGTGTGGCCTTGAAACCAGAGTTCACCTGTCTATTGTAATATATAGCCACATATTTCCATATCTTTCTTGCAGTCCTTTGATTGCCAGTTCGTTAGTGCTGAAATTCATCGATCAGTAGTGCGATGCAGCCTGACTTGACCTCCACGCAGGAGGCTGACGGTCATTTTTGTTTGTACTTTCCGTTTTATTTGATTTTGGAAATGATTTTACCTACTGTCCACACTTAGTAGACGTTTTGGATTGAATGTCCGTTCGCTATTAAACCAGATAAAATTGGGTTCCAGGTGACAGTTCTGTGAGGTTTACTCCGCTCAGAGTAGACCTTGATGGACTTTGGTACAGACAGCTGTTCTCCTGCGGTATATCCTCCTAAGTAATGAAGTATGCTTCATCTAGAGGAGGAGAAAATAAAACAGCGGTAGCAGTTAGACGTTAGATTCATTCTGCGCCAAATATGCAGCAGTAGATCATGCTATGTTGGAATCAAAGTTTGCAATTATCCAAAAAATTTTACACGCTTGAATTTTCATGTTTCAGACTGTCTTAATCAGGCAATGCAGCAAAATCACAAAGTTATTCTGGTCTAGCAAAGCTAAGAAATTACCTTCTAAAATGACGAGGTAATAACAAATAAATTTGGCGCCATCAACTTGACTGTTCACAGTGTGTTACTTGCTCAACAAGCCAATTCCAAATCACGAAGCCATAACCAACTAACGATCTAGAAGTTTTGTATGAATTTCTCGACATTAGATCATTAAATTTTCTTTACATTAAATATGCGAAGCCAATCTCGGGTCCTGTGAAAAAACAAAACAAGAATCCCGAATTTCCGATCGCGAATTCCCTTGAGCAAAAAGTTTATCTCAAGCCATTTTGGTTTAATCAGCGATGGTAAGTGTGGTTAATTTTTCTGGCTGCACTTCACTCGACCTACCTAAGGACTGACAGTCCGATGCAGGAAAAACGTATATCATTGGACACCACTAAAATGATCAGAGGTCAAAATGATTCTATATGGATTCAAGTATTTTTTTGTGACACAATTTCATTGCAGGAAAAAAATTTTCTATTGAATTGTCGCATCTTAGCCGAATTTTCTGGAAATTTGTTTATGGGGGGGAGTTTAGTAATGCTGAAGTTTTGCATATTGCACAAGCAATTTGCTTTTATAGCTGCACCTACCAGTTGATTCTAAATGTATTTAATATGTAGCACTCAAATGTTCCGTGTGTTGGCGATAATAAACTTTTATCAGACAACTTTTCTTAACGCCCTGGGCTATATGATGTTGTTTATCGTTCGGAGTGCATTATATCGAATCGACAAATGATTTGCAGACTAATCTCGAAAATAGAAAGTATATACTGTATTTTCCCGCGTAATCTTATGATTCTCGTGCATACAACTCATACTTCGTATGTTCATGTATCTTATCAGTTTCTAGAATTCTCTAGATCCAGTGTCATTCCAATGGCGGAAAATGAGAAAAACATTGCAGGTTTATCCATTGAACAGCGAGCGATACACAAAGTAAGTGCAGTAGCATCAGTTTTAATAATTTTAACGGTTTCGTTGTTTCGTTGTCATCTCAGGTTACAAAGTTTGAACAACCATGTAGATCGCATCGATGATGCCTGACGGTTAGATATAATGTTTTCAAATAGCAGTAGGTAACTTCCGCCGCTGCGGTAAGGTTATATTTTTCGTCTCTGGCGAATATGCCGCAATGAGATGGTTGACATATGATACTCATGAAAATGTAAAGGACATTGACGTCCCCGCAGTTATAAACTTTGAAAACACTGCTCTCGTTTTATGCTTTACCGCTTACTGTTTTTAAGCCATTTATTTTAACTGCAAATCAATAATTCATAAGTAGCATAACATTTCTAAGAAACAATTTAACGAAGTCGTTTTAGGCTTGGCGTGTCCGAGCTGAGGCGTTTGAATCGTTGGAAAAGAAACTGAGTGAATCACATGCTGATGATGCTGAGTCGGCAGCTGCTGCAGTACAATATATTGACTTGTTCAGACATGGCATATGCGAGTCCAATCAGGTAGTTCTTGAGAAGGTATTAATGGCGTTGGTGGCCTTCGTAAAAAACTATCGAATCGAAGACAGGTAGGCAGCAAAGTTTGAAGCTTACTCTGAATAACTGATTTTTCATAGAACGGCCGAGGATATCTGCTTGTTGCTTGCGCAGTATGCTTTTCGTAGCAACTATGGCGCGGTGTATGACAAAACCAGCGAAGTCCTCCTTCATTATGCTAACAGTCAGAGTAAGAAGATGGTTTTGGTAAGTAGCTACAACAGCTTTTTAAATTTAATGGTATTTGATTGAATAATTGAGCCGATAGGGACTAGGATTTATCATTTAATTTGACAGTGAGTATGTGATGGTGCCATACGAGGAAAACAGATTCGAAATTCAACGATTGGTATGACAATCTTAACAGGAACTCTGAGTCAACCCAAATGCAGTGATTGCCGATTCTGGCGTATTCTGATTCAACACCCTCATCTCCTTGTATGAGCGAGCTGGCATTTCGTGCTTTCAGATTGCTCAGATAATTGTAGCTTTGTTTGCTAGGTCCTTACCCCGGGGTTTTTTGTTATGGGCGTTAGTAGCTTCCCGCTCTACTCGCCATGTTACTCGAGATCCTCAGGATTGACC